GGTCGCAAACGCACAATGTTGGTTTTGTCATGACGCGGCTCATTGATATATATATATATATATATATAATGTACAATCTTTAACAGGAAAAGGCTGTTGAGCTTCCTACTCCATATTCGCCAGATCTTGCCCCATGTGACTTTTTCTTATTTCCAAGACTAAAAGAAACAAGAGGGCCAATTGATGGCCCTGAAGTCGCTCACTTGTATATAGGCCCCCGGAGCGGGCCAGTTTAAACCCCAGTTTAAACATCTAAGGTCTACCTCATTGGGTTTTTTAAAAGAAGATTTATTCAATTTTTTTCTTAACACATATAGTTAAAAACAATGACACACCTGGGGCACGGCCAGTTTTGACCCCAGGGCTTTTATTTGAACAATCTTTGTAGACACTTACTAGCAAATGTTTCATGCTTTATATCTAAACTCTAGCTATTTGGGTTTTTTCAAAGAAGATTTTTTTTGTTTTTGCTATACACTGTATGATATAAGGAAAATCAATGTTCCCTGGGGCGGGACCAATTTTGACCCCAGGGCTTTGATTTGAACAAACTTGGTAGACACTCACTAGAAGACGCTTCATGCTTAGTATCTAAACCTAGGCTATTTGTTTTTTTTCTTTCAAAACAGATTTTTTAAGTTTTTGCTATACGTATATAAGGAAAATCAATGACCCCCGGGGCGGGGCCAATTTTGACCCCAGGGCTTTTATTTGAACAAACTTAGTAGAAATCCATTAGAACATGTTTCATGTCAAATATCTTAGCTCTAGCTCTTTAGGTTCTTGAAAAGAAGTTTTTTAAGTTTTTACTATATGCATACAGTACGCTCACCGTGGGTTTTGCTTTTTCTGCGATACCACCGCGGAAGATTTTTTTTATAGCGAACAAACATGAGGGTTCGTCCGTGATGAGAAGCCTAATTTCCCGCGATCCCCGGTGTTCAGTTGTTTCCACCACGGACAAAATTCTGACAACCGTTCTTCATTTATCGTTAAAATCAGTCACCCGTTTCCCGCGGGGGAACGCCATGGTCAGGTGGTCAGTATAAGTTAACCTCCAAAAATAATAGACGTTTTATTATTTTTTAACGTCATCTTTTTTACATTAAATGCAACTCTTGTCGCGTTGACTGTCTTAAGGAAGACATTTTACAGTGTAGAAAGTTATGATTTAGACAATATATGATTTCAGCTATTGCTAGATTTTTTCTGAGAATGAGATAACTGTCGAATATGTTTATATATATCTTTAATTTAGATTAACTAGCCAATGAAAAACATTTGCTCCATTAGGTAATTTTGAGAACAACTCGGAACTTCAAAGCATTTTCAATTTATAGTAACAAACAATACATATAATACATTAAAGAAAGCACATGTGATGCGACTTTCACACGTCTAAAATGCATCTTTGTTTGAACAGACAACGAAAAGCTTGTTTATTATTCCAGCGCTCTTGATGTATGATAACTATATATAATAAGCACCAAACGCGTTAAAAACAAATTCCGCACCCATTAAAAAAATAATAATTAGGCTGCCTTTTACAAATTATAAAATTACATTATTATCCTCGGAATTAATTTCAATGAAAACTTAATATAATAAATACAAGAAAGCAAAGACAATTACGTTCAATTGTATGTACTTAAAACTACATGTTGTCTACAAATACTATTATTCCTATGAACAATAATATCTTAAGATGAAATTAAAATGAAATATTTTTAACTTGAAAATCGGTCGATGGAAGTTCTTAGAAAATAACTTCCATGTGCTCATTTGCCTTATATACATGTATGTACATGTATACTGTTCATAATAAAACAAAAGTATAACGTCAAGTTTAACAAAATTCTGCAAAAAAAATCTATAACAAAATAAACAAGAGCTGTCGGTAGGACAGCAACGCTCGACTATTCTTAGTGCTTGATAGTAAAAAAAAATGCTTGATAGAGTTACGTCCTCCTGTTTACAGGTTGGGGTCATGATGGTGAACAAGTGTGCAAAGTTTCAAAGCCATATGTCAATGGACTTTGAAAATATTTGAACTATTACAAAAACTTTAAGGTAAATTCTAAGTTGAAAAAGGGGCATAATTCTGTCAAAATGCTTGATGGAGTTACCTCCTCCCGTTTACAGGTTGGGGTCATGATGGTGAACAAGTGTGCAAAGTTTCAAAGCCATATGTCAATGGACTTTGAAAATATTTGAACTATTACAAAAACTTTAACGTAAATTCTAAGTCAAAAAAGGGGCATAATTCTGTCAAAATACTTGATAGAGTTACCTCCTCCTGTTTACAGGTTGGGGTCATGATGGTGAACAAGTGTGTAAAGTTTCAAAGCCATATGTCAATGGACTTTGAAAATATTTGAACTATTACAAAAACTTTAACGTAAATTCTAAGTCGAAAAAGGGGCATAATTCTGTCAAAATGCTTGATAGAGTTACCTCCTCCTGTTTACAGGTTGGGGTCATGATGTTGAACAAGTGTGCAAAGTTTCAAAGCCATATGTCCATGGACTTTGAAAATATTTAAACTATTACAAAAACTTTAACGTAAATTCTGAGTCGAAAAAGGGGCATAATTCTGTCAAAATGCTTGATAGAGTTACCTCCTCCTGTCTACAGGTTGGGGTCATGAGGGTGAACAAGTGTGCAAAGTTTCAAAGCCATATGTCTATGGACTTTGAAAATATTTGAACTATTACAAAAACTTTAACATAAGTGGTTACGCCGACGCCGACGCTCGGGTGACTGCAATAGCTCTACTTATTCTTATCGAATAGTCGAGCTAAAAAGAACAAGCAAACAAACTACTAAAACAAAAATGAAAATAAACTTCAACAGTTGATACAAACTTCAAAACATATACAATACGCTCACACCTGTAATTTGATAAATCAAAATATCATTTAATGTATATTTTGGTGAAATAAACGCTTTCTTTTAATGTTCCAAATAAAATATAAGACTTTATGATCAACATGCAAACGCATCTGACAATTGAAAGAGACGTCCTGGAATATGCCTGAATAAAATTGTTGAGGGTTACGTGTTCAAAGCTTTTAAATAAGAAACAAAAGCTGGCATATAAATTGTTGTAGTATCTTTTTCATAAATGTCATATGCCGAATTTTTCATTATTTGACTTAAAGTTTCTCACTACCATGAATTTGCAACAACAATGATTTATCTTGATGTTGAATACATATTATACATTACCCAACACAATAACAAGAAGAAGAACATGAAAAACACTGCATTTGTACATGTACTTTTATTACACCAAAAATGAAATAAAACAAACAAATTTTACATATTGTTACATGTATAATGTACAGTACATGTTACAGTACATGTACGTACGTATACCAATGTTTAAATACAGTAATTAATTTTTAAAATTTAAGGTTTCCACCGCGTTGACCAATGTTTTGCCGCGTTCCTCCGCAATTTACCACTGCGTTCCGCGGGGGAAACAGTTTAAGCCGCCGATTTACGTCCACGTTGGTGAAAATTTTCTGTCCGCGGGGTCACGCGGACAATATCTGAGCAAATTTACGTCCGCGGTAAACTTCATCCGCGGGGTCACGCGGGTTTTGTAAAAGTCGCGCTGAGCGTAATGTATAGGGAAAATCAATGACCCCCTGGGGCGGGGCCAATTTTGACCCCAGGGCTTTTATTTGAATAAACTTGGTAGACACCCATTAGAAGATGTTTCATGCTAAACATCTAAGGTCTAGCTCGTTGGGTTCTTTAAAAGAAGATTTTTTAAGTTTTTACTATATGCATATAGGGAAAATCAATGACCCCCAGGGGCGGGGCCAATATTGACCCCAGGGATTTTATTTGAACAAACTTGGTAGACACTCACTAGAAGATGTTTCATGCTAAATATCTGAGCTCTAGCTCTTTGGGTTTTTTAGAAGAAGATATTTAAAGTTTTTTTTTTGGTTGCCATGGCAACCACAGTTCTGCCTGGAATTACATTCTTTGAACAATTTTCAAAGGTGACCACCAAAGGAACATTCCTGTGAAGTTAATGGATGAAATTGGCTTGGTGGTTTATGAGGAGATGTCATTTAAAGTAAAAGTTTACGGACAACGGACGGACGACAGACGGACGACAGACGAAAAGCGGTCACAAAAGCTCACCCTGTCACTTTGTGACAGGTGAGCTAAAAACCTTGCTGGAAGGAAATAATTATCAATCGCGAAAAAATTTCATTCAACTATTTTCCCGTGTCTGAACAGTATGCCTTGAAAAGATTATGAACAAGCATTTAAAATTGGATTCAAAAGACTATAACTTTGTATATCACATGGTGGTGAGTATTTTGTGAGATTGAGATAATTATTTTGGCACTCTTTGCTAAGCACTTCCGAAAATTAGCCCAGATGCATAATATTTGAACAACCCCCCTAGTATGCTCTTCCTACAAATTGTAAAAAACATGCATTATAAACATATGATGGTACCGCCTCCATGGTCTGATGACTTCTAATCCAGTTTCCTGTCTGTCGTTGGTTTGTTCCCCGGGAGATGCTTTGATAGTTTAGCGCAGAGGAAGGTAGCCTAGTACTGGTGTAACTCTCCAGGAACGATGGTTAGGAAACTACCTGCCTATATGACTGAAATATTGTTTGAAAAAGGCGTAAAATGAAACAAACAATGTATTAAAGAAAGCATTCATTATCTACAGAATTTACCAATTATAAAACATATTCAAAATGCAGCTTATCCGAATAAAAATGTAAAATATTCAGATGAACAATGTCATTAAATTCAATACTTGCCAAACATTGTTGATCTTAAAATACGGATGAGACTTATTTTAAGCAAAGCAATGTCTAAGGGAATTTATATGGGAACAAAAGTTCACATATATTATACAATTGTGATAAGTATGAAATATTACATTCATCGCTTTTATTGGGGAAGTCTCTATCTGTTGTTTGGTAAAAAAAAATGTGGGAAAAGAATAATATACACGCTCATGTACATACATGTATAATAGTAAACTTATTCAGAATGTCATTTTCTACAATCAAGCAAAATTTCAACAAAATCGAAAGAAAAACACAATCAAAGTCTTAACAGCAGCAGATGGTTTGCATTATTCATTAGTATGTGCACGCTTCTATCTGGTCCATCACTATGGGGATGGTAGAAAAAACTTCTGGCTGTATCCACTCACTCTTATTATCAAGTTTCTATGCTTAATTTCAGCAACACCATATTATTATTATTCACATCCAGTTTATCAACAAATCTTTCCAGCATTGTTCAAAATAAGTTCATGTACTGTTGTTTCAACTTCCACAATCACTTTCCCCGGACTGAGAACTTAGTTCTTCTTGGCTGTTACAGTCTTCATCTGTAATATTTTCACCAAAGTTACCACTTTCACTTCTTTCTTCACATTTCTCCTTTATTTCATGTTTTTGAAGATGTTTCTTCATGTTAGACTTGAAAGTAAATGTTCGAGGACATTGTGGACACTTGTAAACAGGGCGATCCTGACTATGAAGTAGCTTGTGTACGGCCAAATTGCCTTTCTGTGAGAAAGTTTTTTCACAAATTTCACATCTGTAATTCTTCAAACCTAAAAATAAAAAGTTAATATGAAATGAGAGGACTTATCCTTTGTTAGAGTATAGATAATAAAATTTCCATCTTCAATCAAACTTTTTCCCAATTCAACAAGTATTAGTACAACAAAAAGTTAAAAGAATTAAATGTTGTGTTAAGTTTTAATACTGATCTATCCAGCCATGATCTTTCAAAAAGAATGTTCTGGAAAAAAACACTATGTGGTTCTATTTTCTAACTAATAGTAGAAGTTGTTTATATGTTTATGAGAGTTTTAAAGATGATTTGTATCAAATAAACTTCTGGCCCCGTGTTTACTAAGAAAAGATCAGGAATTCAGGAAGATTAAATGATCCTGATTTTTTTTTATTATTTTATATAACTAATATTGATCTATTTTGCTAGAATTAAATGGTACATATTCAAAATGTAAACAATTGCTGATTTGCAAAGAAACAAACCTATTTTGGGATAAAATCCATTAATATCAAAACAAACACAAAAATAATCGGATCAAAGTAAGGATCAATTTTAGGATCAAGATCAATATTTGAATCAACTGTAAAATGCCCGTATCTAGCAAAATTAACAAGAGCTGTCGGTAGGACAGCAACGCTCAACTATTCTTACTGCTTGATAGTAAAAAAAAAATGCTTGATACAGTTACCTCCTTCCTGGTTGAAAATATTTGAACTATTACAAAAACTTTAACATAAATTCTAAGTCGAAAAAGGGGTATAATTCTGTCAAAATGCTTGATAGAGTTACCTCCTCCTGTCTACAAGTTGGGGTCATGATGGTGAACAAGTGTGCAAAGTTTCAAAGCCATATGTCAATGGACTTTGAAAATATTTGAACAATTACAAAAACTTTAACATAAGTGGTTACGCCAACGCAGATGCTGACACTGACACCGACACCCGGGTGACTGCAATAGCTCTACTTATTCTTATCGAATAGTCCGTCGAGCTAACAATAAATTAATTTATTCTACAATTTCATAAACATGCCTTTTCATGTCCAGTTTCATAAGATTAATATTTAATATTTAATCTACGAGGACAAACAATGGAGAATATTTGAGTTTTTAGATATGCTTAAATCTTTGGGAACACGGAGCCAATACTTAGATATTTAATCTGATCATGAAGTTCAGTATGAGACTGGTGGATTTTCTTAAAAATTTAGTTATTATCATTTATCCAATACTTCACCTGGAATAAAGCTTATATTGATTTAAAATTTCAACAATATGAGCTGCGTCATGACAAAACCAACATAATGGGTTTGCGACCAGCATGGATCCAGACCAGCCTGTGCATCTGCGCAGTCTGATCAGGATCCATGCTGTTCGCTTACAAACCCTATAACAAATAGAGAAACTGATAGCGAACAGCATGGGTCCTGATCAAAGTGCGGGGATGCGCAGGCTGGTCTGGATCCATGCTGGTCGCAAACGCACTATGTTGGTTTTGTCAGGACGGGGCTCATATATAAAAGAATTTACCTGTATGTTTATACATGTGAGTATCCAGGTATGTTTTCCTGCTGAATCCCTCATTACAAATGTGACAATGGTGCGGTTTCTCACCTGAATGTATCTTTTTGTGCTTTGTCAAGTTTGTATTTAGTCTAAAAGCAGTAGAAAAAATTTTAATATGTATAAACTGAAATTTTTTGATGAGTGTAATACTGCAAATACTTAAAGCTAAATGCCTCCAGATGAACCAAAATATTTCAATAAAATCAAATTTGAGAAAATATGTAATCAACTAATATTTAGGATAAGTAAAAAGATTAAGATTAAAGTAATAATTTACTTGTTATATGTGATAAATGACTGATTTTTCAGTATTTATACCTATATTTCCACTGCATAACTTATACAGTAAGGGCTATTTTTGCATATCTTGACCTGTTTTTGGTACTTGAAGTGGGTTGCAAGTGCCATTGATAATGGTTAAATTGCTTCTTTTTGGGTATTTCACAATAGTAAACTTTTAAATACATGTACATTTTCAAAATTTTCATGAAAATTGGCATGAATCTGGAAGCATGCTGCTTTAATATCTATATGCATTGACATTTGCATGATACAAATAAAATAGATGACATCAAATTATGAAAAGAGATATCACATCAAAGATTGAAATTCTGCACTTAAATATACATGTATACTTAAACAAACAAGAGGGCCATGATGGCCCTGAGGTCGCTCACCTGTATATAGGCCCCCCCCCCCCCCCGGGCCAATTTTTACCCAAGGGCTTTTATTTGTTTATTTGAACAGACTTGGTAGACACCCATAAGAAGATGTTTCATGCTAAACATCTAAGTTCTAGCTCATTGGGTTTTTTAAAAGAAGATTTTTAAAGTTTTTACTATACACATATAGTTAAAAACAATGACACCCCTGGGGCAGGGCCAGTTTTGACCCCAGGGCTTTTATTTGAACAAACTTTGTAGATATTTACTTAAAGATGTTTTCATGCTTAATATCTAAACTCTAGCTATTTGGTTTTTTTTCAAAGAAGATTTTTAAGTTTTTGCTATACACATATAAGGAAAATCAATGACCCCCCCACCCCCCCCCCCGGACCAGTTTTGACCCCAGGGCTTTTATTTGAACATACTTGGTAGACACCCATTAGAACATGTTTCATGCTAAATATCTTAGCTCTAGCTCTTTGAGTTCTTTAAAAGAAGATTTTAAGTTTTTACTATATGCATATAGGGAAAATCAATGACCCCCTGGGGCGGGGCCAATTTTGACCCCAGGGCTTTTATTTGAACAAACTTGGTAGACACTCATTAGTAGATGTTTCATGCTAAATATCTTAGCTCTAGCTCTTTGGGTTCTTTAAAAGAAGATTTTTTAAGTTTTTACTATATGCATATAGGGAAAATCTATGACCCCCATGGGCGGGGTCAATTTTGACCCCAGGGCTTTTATTTGAACAAACTTGGTAGACATTCACTAGAAGATGTTTCATGCTTAATATCTTAGCTCTAGCTCTTTGGGTTCTTTAAAAGAAGATTTTTTTAAGTTTTTACTATATGCATATAGGGAAAATCAATGACCCCCTGGGGCGGGGTCAATTTTGACCCCAGGGCCTTTATTTGAACAAACTTGGTAGACATTCACTAGAAGATGTTTCATGCTTAATATCTAAGCTCTAGCTCTCACGGTTCTTTAAAAAGAAGATTTTTTTAAGTTTTTACTATATGCATATAGGGAAACTCAATGACCCCCGGGGTGGGGCCAATTTTTGACCCCAGGGCTTTCATTTGAACAAACTTGGTAGACACTCACTAGAAGATGTTTCATGCCAAATATCTTAGCTCTAGCTCTTTGGGTTCTTTTAAAGAAGATTTTTTTAAGTTTTTTACTATATGCATATAGGGAAAATCAATGACCCCTGGGGCGGGGCCAATTTTGACCCCAGGGCTTTTATTTGAACAAACTTGGTAGACACTCACTAGAAGATGTTTCATGCCAAATATCTAAGCTCTAGCTCTTACAGTTCTTTGAAAGAAGATATTTAAAGATTTTTCTTTCGGTTGCCATGGCAACCAGAGTTCTGCATGGAATTAAATTCTTTGAACAATTTTTTAAAGGTGACCACCAAAGGAACATTCCTGTGAAGTTTGGATGAAATTGGCTCAGTGGTTTATGAGGAGATGTCATTTAAAGCAAAAGTTTACGGACGGACGGACGGACGACGGACGGACGGACGCCGGACGAAAAGCGATCACAAAAGCTCACCCTGTCACTTTGTGACAGGTGAGCTAAAAAAACAGAAAAATAAAATAAATGTTTAATTTTAAGTTGAGAAATAGAAAAAACAAGAGCTGTCGGAAGGACAGCACGCTCGACTATTCTAAGTGCTTGATAGTAAAAGAGCCTTGATAATGTTAAATTTTTTAAGATCACAAAAGGTCTAATTTTTTTTTAATAAATTCATGTTATAGGCCTTAGAGAGAGTCTAATTATACAATATTGGCTTGACCATTCGGAAGGTAATGCCACAAGGTTGTTTTATTGAGTATAATAATAATATTACCTATGAATACATAAATTTGACAGAAAAGGTACATAGGCTTCTAATTAAGATGTTTTATCAAGTAAATCACTGCTTTATTATTATGAATGCATAAAATTGTCCCAAAAAAGGGCACAAACCCTTCAGTAGTAATTGAGATAACAGCTTACAAGCAAAACTTAACCATGAATTTCTAAGTTGAAAAAGGGAAGAAAAATCAGCCTAAATGCAAGATAGAATTATGGATCTTTGTCAGTGACCTACAATTATGACCCTTAATGCAAATGTGAAGTTTTAAATAAATATCTTTAATAGTTATTGAGATATGTAAAACTTGCATGTAAACATTAACCAAGAGACTAAGTAGAAAAGGGGATATGAATCAGCCTTAATGCAAGATAGAGTTGGTCAGTGACATACAATTATGACCCTCCAATTATGACCCTAAGTGCATGTGTAAAGTTTCAAGTAAATATCTTTGAAGTTTCAAAGGGGCAAATAATTCTTCAAATTTTGCAGGCAGAGTTATGCAATTTTGCAAACTGATGTACATTGTTACTATAAAAAAGTATTTTAAATTTCAATTGAATATCTCAAGCAATAATTGAGATATTTGACTTCACAAAAAAACTTTAACCAAAATTTCTAAGTTCCAAAGGGGCATAATTCTGTTAATATTGTAGGCAGAGTTAACCAACTTGTCAATCTGATGTACCTTGTTACTATAAATAAGTATTGTAAGTTTCAATTGAATATCTCAAGCAATAATTGACAAAAAACTTTAACCAAAATAATAAGTTAAAAAGGGGCATAATTCTGTCAATATTATAGGCAGAGTTATCTAACTTGTCAATCTGATGTACCTTGTTACTATAAATAAGAATTGTAAGTTTCAATTGAATATCTCAAGTCACGCCGACGCCGACGCGACTACAATAGCTCTCATATTCTTCGAATAGTCGAGCTAAAAACAAGAACACATCAGTCAAGACATATGTTAACCATACATTGTAGCTTACAATGCCATATTGGTACAGTGTAACTTCTGAATTCCGAACATTTTTCAGGGTCCCAAAAATTCTCCTTTTGTTTTCTATGTAATATAGAAAATACATGGTTGATGCCGGGATAGAGAATGTTTATCTGGTGAGCGAGAAAGTGTATCTTGGCGAGCTTTAGCGAGCCAAGATTCACTTTCGCAGGGAACCAGATAAACCTTCTCCATCCCGACATCAACCATGTTTTTGATTTATCCTGCTTTTTATCAAAATTTAAGAATAATTAAATGGTTTCATTCTTCTTTTTCCCCGATAAAATAGCATCTATAAATGCAGTTTTGTTTTGCTGCTAAATATGTGACGTCATCATATGACGTAATGACTGGAGATAGGTAAGTTTATCCGGCAAGGCTTTATCCAGCTAATGATATAGACAGTAGCAGGATAAAAATACTTCTGAATAACGGAATTTCTAAATTTTAATTCCAAACAATTTTCTGCTAAAATTTGTGTTGTATCAATTCAAATCAGGAACTTGAACAAGAGGGCCATGATGGCCCTGAGGTTGCTCACCTGTATATACAAGTTTAAACCCCAGGGCTTTTGTTTTAACAAACTTGGAAGACACACATTAGAAGCTGTTTCAATATAAATTGTTAAGTTTTTACTACACACATATAATGATAAACAACGATCTCCCCCCCCCCCCCCTGCAGGGCCAATTTTAACCCAAGGGCTTTTACTTGAACAAACTTGGTAGACACCCATAAGAAGATGTAGATTCACTGAATTAAGTTGAAATGGTCGAAAGATGTGCGACTTGGCGCACATTGACTTCATTCATTTTGCAAAAAATATTCACAAATCTTGCGCGGCCTAGATGCAACACTGTGTATCTTCCAATCAGCAAAAACCATTTATCTTGACACCTATTAGAATCACAACCTGTGAAGCATGTCACACACTTTATTCAAGTGTGAATATTAAGAAACTTAAAAGTATAAATAATGTGATGAACAAAAACAATTCTTACAGGTTAATAACTGGTATTAAATGATATATACTAAATTTATAATTAATATTATGCTATTGTATTGTACTGTACATTCTGTTATAGGTGTATCAACACATCCCTTATAGGTGAAAATGAAATATAATACAGGTTTTAATTTTTTTAAAAGTCCTATATTTTTGACATTTTATGAATTTAATCTGCTTCATATTTTTATCAGCATGTTTTTTACTTAAACAATTGATGTTTAATGTTTTTACTTGTTCTAAATTCCGAAAACTACCAAATTCCTAACTTTTTGGCTAGTCCCACAGGTGTTCTGTTTTCAGAAGTTACACTGTATACAAGAAATAATCCAACTACATTTCAATGATACAAACCCTACATTGAGCAAATCTGACTTTATAGAATCATAACTTTTACTTTACCTAAATGCTCTTCCACAACCTTCAAATGAGCACACAAAGGGTTTTATGTTGGTATGCATTGTTTGATGAAGTTCCAGACCAATCTTTCTATAGAATATTTTCTTGCAAACATCACATACATACTGTGTCTTGTCTACATCTTTAGTATGCAGTGCTGCAATGTGACTTTTGATAGCACTTGATGTTTTAAATCTATGTCCACAAAATTCACAATGATAATTTCTAATATTCAAGTGGATCATTCTTATATGTTTTCTTCTGATATAGTTATGAGCAAATTCTTTGTCACAGCCTTCATAATTGCATTTATAAATCACTTGGGACTTTGCACTCTTTTTAGATGGTTCAGCTGAAGTTTCCTCCACATCTTTATCTTGGTTATCAGAGGTGTCATCACTATTGTTTTCATCTCTGTTCTGATATTTCACATCATCACTGCTCATTGGGGTTGATATTCTCTCACTCCTGTGATTTTCATCTGATTCATTATACTCAAAATTGTCATCGACCTCCTTCTTTACTTCAATTTCATTTTGGAATGGTGATTCTACATCTTTCTCTTCAGGATCATTTATTTCCACTTTACATGTCGATGAATTTCTTGAATTTGAGATTGTTTCTTTCTCAATTCTATCCTTTTTAATAACTTCAATTTCAGAAAGATCAACTTTTTTCATCTTCTCATTTTGAGATACAGTATTAAACTTTCTTTTAAGTTTTCTTCTTGTCTTTTCTACAAGTATATCACTGTTGGGAAAATTATCACTATGATTTTGGTTTTCTTTCTTAGAATTTTTACGTTTCCTTTCAGATGAAGTCAATGGACTTGTTCTCTCCATTTTGTATGATGTAACTTTAAGATAATCACACTCACAATCTTTATTTTTGTTTAGTTTCTATTTCATGTGCCTACATATTTATAAATTATCTTGTTCCTGGAACAAAATCTCTGTCAGTTCTATTACCTATTGTTCCTTTCAATTTCTTCACACCTCTCAAGATACCTGAAAAATATTACAAAATGTTTGCAACAAAAACACCAAGCAAACAAAACAACAATAAAACATGTAATCTGATTTTTGTAAACACATTTTATCAGCAGCCATTGCCACTAATAATAGCCAGTAATCTAACTGTCAAAGCAGTTGACCAATTCACAATCATATTGTAATCATCACCACAAAACTTACATAGTGCGTTTGCGACAAGCATGGATCCAGACCACCCTGCGCAGTCTGATTAGGATCTATGCTGTTCCCTGTCAGTTGCTCTACTTGTAATAGGGTGTGTAAGCAAACAGTATGGAACCAGACTGCGCGGATGCACACGCTGGTCTGGATCCATGCTGGTTGCAAACCCATTATGTTAGTTTTGTCATGACGCAGCTCATCTTATGAATTTTACTCATAGCATTATGGAATGATATTATAATTTACAAATGAAAACCAAACAGAATCTGAGTCATGTACTTTAACCAATTGGTTAAATGTGATGCTATATTACCCATATATCTGTCAGAGTATCTACATACATGTTACGTTGAGTTCTGTTTCAGTTGATACCATTTATTTTAGTTTGATTGTAATGGAAAATATAAGCTAATTACAACACTCTAGAATCTGTACCAACCAGTACTAAACATTGACTGTAAAGTTTCTTGCTCATGGAAACAACTACTTGCCTCTGACAGGGTTTAAACCCACACAGTCAACACTACTTAGATTACTAACTAGTACATCACATTAACCATTCAGTCACCCTGCCAATCTTTAATGTTTTTTATAACAAAACTGAAGATTATTGCAAATATAGCTATACTATTTCACTGAAAGTTCTAAAACTTAAACTGAAATATGACAGTGTTTTTTTTTTATAGCTTTTTTTCAAACTATCAATCAACAAAGTCTATCTTTAGAATACTAAGAAGATTTTTTAAGTTTTTGTTACACACATATAAGGAATATGAATGACCCCCGGGATGAGACCAATTTTGACCCCAAGGCTTTTATTTGAACAAACTTGGTAGACACTCACTAGAAGATGTTTCATGCTTTAGCATCTAAACTCTAACTATTTGGTTTTTATCAAAGAAGATTTTTAAGTTTTTGCTATGCACATATAAGGAAAATCAATGACCCCAGGGGCGGGCCAATTTTGACCCCAGGGCTCTTATTTGTACAAACTTGGTAGACATCCATTAGAACATGTTTCATGCTTAATATCTTAGCTCTAGCTCTTTGGGTTCTAAAAAAGAAGTTTTTTAAGATTTTACGATATGAATATAGGGAAAATCAATGACCCCCTAGGGTAGGGTCAATTTTTGACCCCAGGGCTTTTATTTGAACAAACTTGTTAGACACCCATTAGAAAATGTTCATGCCAAATTTCTTAGCTCTAGCTCTTTGGGTTCTTTAAAAGAAGATTTTTAAAGTTTTTACTATATGCATATATATGGAAAATCAATGACCACCCCCCCCCCCCTCCCAACCTGGGGCTGGCCAATTTTGACCCAAACTTGGTAAACATTCATTAGAACATGTTTCATGCTTAATATCTAAGCTCTAGCTCTTTGGGTTTTTTAGAAGTAGATATTTAAAGTTTTTTCTTTGGGTTGCCATGGCAACCAGAGTTCTGCATGGAATGGAATTCTTTGAACAACTTTGTTAAGGCTTCACACAAGGAACATCCCTGTGAAGTTTCATTATAATCTGCCTTATGGTTTCAGAGAAGATGTCGTTTTAAAAGTGTGAACAGACGACCGACGGCCCACGACTGAAGACAGATGACGGATCAAGAGTGATCCTAATAGCTCACCCTGAGCATATGCTCAAGCTTAAAAGATAAAAAAACATTAATAAATCTAAGTGATTAATACCTGGGACATTAATTGTAATGTGTTACTGTACATCCAAGTTAAAACACTGGAAAATTTTGGCAAAGAAAAATCAACACAGTCAATCTTATTAAATTTGCTAACAAGTAAAAAGTTGCATTCATACTCTATTGGAAATACACCGATAAACACTTTCAGAACTAGCAGATGATGAGCTATTTATATCAGTTGAATTTCGAGTAAAGATAACGGATTGCGTACCTCACTGTATAAATCGTATGTAAAATGGTCTGACATATGATAGGTTTAACAGTTAATAAAAATACTTTGAAGTCCAAAGATGTGTTGAATTTTATACTGTGACGAAGCTAAGATCCAAAGCTTTTTTTTTGGTGTGATACACTTTAAAAACAGACATTAATTTAATCAAAACAATCTAGCAGTTTAAAAACAGCTTATTTTGTATTGTTTTAGCATAAGCGATATCGATTTTACTCGAAGATAAGGGAAGCAACTCTAATTTTTCACATGATATACCTGGTTATTTACGTAAATCATATTGAAAGTGTTAATGCATGTACATGCCATAATTTTTGGACAGCTTTCCGGGACACTTTTTCACCGCGGCAAATAATGGATGTGTAGTCAGTTTGGAAAGGGGGGGGGGGGGGAGGTGTCGATCGTATAACGTTATTACATTAGAACGACTTTCTCCTGAATTTTAATGATAAACAGTTAACTTACTAGTTTTTAGAAGTAGTCTTTTAGGTCAACATATCAATCATTTTATATAGTATTTCTTTTTTCATTTATTATTCCCCCAAAGCAAGTAAGTTGTAAGTTATAAACCTGGTGAATGGGCACAGCCATGTTGTTCACCCGTTATATCTTAAAGTTGTGATAATTACTACATGTCACGTAATGCAATTCTTCCAGTCATAAAAACAAACACAGCAAGGTGATTTATTTGACACCTTTAATTTTTTATTTGATAGATATACATGTTTATTTACATTGTTTGTAATAATTACTTTTGGCAAGTTAGCGATTGATCTAAAAATTAATGATTATCGGGGATTAATGATAACTGTTAAGGGCCGTTAAACCATTAATTAACCCCACCATTAAATGCTGCCGAATTCAACAGAGAACATTAATTGCCGTTGCATGAAGAAAGCTATTGCCAACGAGAATCGACAGTCGATAATTGAGGGCTGTATATTGTAAACTTGTAAGTGTCAACGTTCCTGTATATTATGTGTACCAGGTCAGAATATGTTTTACGATCGAGAGGTGAAATGTGCGAGATTTGATTTAAGAAAATTTATGAAAAGTTTGCAAAATATCCAAATTTTTTTCCGGGATCAAATCGATACCCGGGACATCTCCCGGACAGACATCTGATTTCTGGGACAATCCCGGGCATCTGGGACATTATGGCATGTATGGAACTTTATGGGTGTATTTGAAATATATAAATAATTTAGTGTTACTACTATGATTTTGACAGGGGTAGGTATTTAATGATTGCTGGTTAGCTCCAGAAATGAGTGTATCAATAATCTTATAGCTTCCAAAACAATCAAACTAAAATGAATTCTGTAAAATCAACTATAATTACTATAACTAAGTTTAATGGGTGTCCGAAGCTAATATCCGAAAATCATAATACTGACGGTTCTTGTCAGTGCCAGTGCTAGTACAGCCAAGCAATGTAATTTCCACATGGAAATTTAGCAAAATGCCGGCAGATACCTTTTCCAATTTTCTGCAACGAATACTTTTCACCAAACTGTCTATTAGCTCTATTAATTGCATTTAAATTTTCGAATTAGACTTTTGCTACAAATGGTGGACAATCATTAAGGGGCGGTCACTCTCTGGAGATACAATATAAAAGCACGGAGAGCATCTTGTTTCGAATTACAGTCAACACCAGCCTAAAGTCTACCTCGGTCTTCCTCGGGAAAATTATGAACGTGAGAAGAAATAGATTTGGATCAATCATGGAGCTAAATTTATATTGAATATATAGATAGTCTTGGGATAGTCTTGGGGTGTCTTAGTGTCCTAGGGTGTCTTCGTGTGTCTTGGGGTAGTCTTGGGTGTCTTGGGTGTCTTGGGGTAGTCTTGGGTAGTCTTTGGGAAGTCTTAGGGTGTCTTGGGGTAGTCTTTGGGTGTCTTGGGGTTTCTTGGATAGTCTTTGGGTGTCTTGGGGTAGTCTTGGGGTGTCTTGGGAAAGTCTTGGGGTAGTCTTGGGGTGTCTTGTGTAAGTCTTGGGTAGTCTTTGGGTAGTCTTAGGGTGTCTTGGGGTAGTCTTGGGGTGTCTTGGTGTGTCTTGAGGTGTCTTTGGGTAGTCTTGGGTAGTCTTTGGTAGTCTTAGGGTGTCTTGGGTAGTCTTTGGGTGTCTTGGGATAGTCTTTTGGTGTCTTGGGGTAGTCTTGGGGTGTCTTGGGATAGTCTTGGGGTAGTCTTGGGGTGTCTTAGGATAGTCTTGGGATAGTCTAGGGGTGTCTTGGGGTGTCTTTGGGTGTCTTATGGTGTCTTGGGGATAGTCTTGGAGTGTCTTGGGGGTAGTCTTGGGGTGTCTTGGGGTAGTCTTGGGGTGTCTTGGGTAGTCTTGGGGTAGTCTTAGGGTGTCTTGGGGTAGTCTTTGGTGTCTTAGGGTGTCTTTGGTAGTCTGTGGATGTCTTGGGGTAAATAGACCGACCCTATATATGCATATATATCTGTTTAACAATTAAGTCTTGATTAAATGGCAAGTAGAATCTATTGTAATTTGAGCTTGTGAAAGGAATATGTCCTACGTGCAATATGCTTTTTTCCGTGCTTGAATTTAATTTATACCTACATGTATTTTCATGATAGGCACAGTGCTATAAGAATATTACACTGGCTGCTAGTACAGCTCTAACTGTTTACAACGGTAACGAGGCTCTAACGAGTTTCCGATTAAAAGTGACCCTAGAGCAATAAATTTTAAGATATTCTTGTTTGTATCGAGAGCCGGTGTATGAATCTTTTTCTTGCATATTAAATGTTCATTGTTTTTCGAAAAGAAATTAAGAAAATTGATATTTTCATTACGTATTTTCTTTATAGAAGTTTTTCAAATGGCGTCTTCCATATAAAGCAATTCATTCATAAAAGGCGCGTGACAATGACGTCATTATATTATAAGCTCGTTTCCTGTCTTACACGGGGGTGTATAGCATCGGTGTAAACGGAAGATAATCCTGTCTGATTATGCACGAAATTATTATTCCGGAATCCAAGCTAAGCTTCCTACCCATTCGTCTGATTACGTTGTGTATCGGCTAGTGTAGTAGCTTTATTAGAAGCTCATCTTTACCACAATGTAAGGCACAAACCACAAAACAGTCCGAGCTGCCCACCTGACATGGGAGTTAGTCCGAGCAGCCATCTGTTCTTTATGTAAATAGCTATAAATTGTACGATTTTTCATAAGAAATATATTTCTCGGAGCCTACCATGACCTTCCCATTGGTCCAGTTTTGTTGCATAATGGACAGTGGTCTTTATTATGGCAAAATAACAACTGGCTTTTTTGTGTTTAATGCTTCGATGTGACTGTACAAGTTAGAAAATCTATTTATGCTTTAAAATTTTGGAAGTTCTTTCACAATTTATTTGTCTTGGTAAAACATGCAAAATGGTGCTCAAAATTATGAAAGTGAAATATCCAAAATTCTTGAACAAGTCCAAATACAATATTGTAAAGATTTTGTAGGTGTGAATTAATTTGTAAATGAGAATGTTGCACTGGAAGAATGTGGCGGGATGCCCTAATTTATTGATTATTTTATTAAAATTATTAAATATTGGTGTAAACTATGCAGAACCTCCTTTCTGAAGAGTATTTAATTTCAGTTAAGATAGAATTTGCAGAGGGGTGGTTCAAGTTCTCCTTGGAACCTTATTTTTTCTTTTAAATAATTGCTCTTTTCTATTCCTTTAATCTAATAAGATTATGATTATATATTTCGTTTAATTTGTTCATTCTTGAAAAAGAATTATATTGAAATGTATTTGCATTTAGTGTTAAATAAGAGAAAAATAGTGTAGTTTTACAATTTTAAAAAATGTATATATTTCCAAATCTAGACAGTAAACCTCCTTTAATTTTTACATAAATTTTCAAAATTGTTATATATATGATAATCTTAAGAAGATATAGGGATGCCAAATTGAAAGTTGCAAAATATGACCCTTTTTCTGAACCCAACCTTTCCTCACTAACTTATCAAATCTGATATATACTGGTTACAATTAATCAACATTTTTTTTCAGAATGCTTTTCAATGGTTTTGTTTCTTTTCATTTCAAAACTATGGGTGCTTCCTACCACTTCTAAAGTACATGTACATAAAGATGAAAATAAGTAAAACTGTTATATAACTCATGAAAACATATGTGTTGTTGTTCTCTATGTTCAATTAGATCGTCAATATTTTACAAACAATATTGTTGCCTTTGCATATTTGTCAAAAATTTGTTTCAAAGTTTATTAATAAAAAAGTTTTTTAAATGACTTTTTAAACATTGTCAATTATACATGTAATACCTTAACGTCAAACTATACAAGATGAAACTGGGGATACCTCGGTAAAATATTTATTGTTTATTTAAGGATTTGGTTTTGTTTGTCAAGAAATTCGGGAATATCTAGACTATTTTTCCATCAATTTAAATGAAGAATAATTGATTGCATAACACAAAATTCTGGGATTTTTCCAGGATTTTGGGAACACTACCCATACCCATGGAATTGGGAATTCAGCGGTGTTTTGTTAAAATTGGGGAAAAATGCATGACTGAAATTTTGCAGTATTAAATGGATGCAAACAATTACTGTCTATGATGGCATCTTCAAAGATTTAAGCGCTATTACAGTGAAAAAGCCCTTATTTGCAAGTTTTTATTTTAGAATTTTTATTTAATATTTTTTTTTTTAACTATCAATTGGGATTTTTTTCCTATTGATTGGGAAAATAATATACTATTTTCAATTGAGAATATGATCCAATAACGGGTATAAAATAAGCCAAAAAAAATGCCTGAAATTGGACAAGTAGAAATTCATAATTTATCCCGATGTGACCGCTGTAGATAATAAAAAATCCATGTTAAATCCAGGAAAATATTTATTTACTGATATGCCATATAATGTTAAGAAATCAATATCCAGATTTAGATGCCTGGGTCATAAATTATATCTAGAAACTGGTCGATGTATTGCCTTGATGTCATATAGTGTGAATGAGTCTAGAGCAAAAAAAAATCAACCACAATACTTTGCAATGTAAATAAGGTTGTCAAACGTTGTCAACTGAACGTTTTTTTTCTATATAATTTTAATAGATTGTATTGCCTTTGATATCCCAACGCTATGCCGATTGATTATATTGATAAGCAAAAGATAAAAACGTTATCCCGAATCTTAGAACACAGAGCTAAGCAGATTTACAGTAAAGCAGTTTATCGCGGACAAATATGTGTTTTAAAGCAGCACGCCTCCAGATTTATGCTTACTTTCATGAAAATTTTGAAAATGTAAATAATAGCATAATGAGCATATCAACAAAAGGGAGGCAATGTATTAACAATGGCACTTGCAACCCTTGCCAATATAAAAATATAAATTATTACTCAAAACTTGAATCTTTGTACTTTTCATAATCTCTTAATACATTTTTCTCAAGTTTGAATTTGTTGAAATATTTTTGCTTAACTGGTGGCATGCTGCTTTAAAGAAAATACTAGTAGCAAATGTATTTTTGTAAATGTAGATATTGACTTTTCCATCAAATGCAAAGAAAAAAAAAGAAATATATAAGTATAATAATCATAATTCGTTTACTTAAAATAATACGTTAGAATACATATGTGTATATATTTCTGAATCTCTTGGCAGAGAATTTTATAACAGATGGACAAGCAGATCTAAACATGAATTTTACTGTTTGACGCTATTGATATTAATAATAGCCACGGTGTTCAAATTGACAAGAAAATTTGCTGAAAAGAGGCATAACTCTTGCGATAATGAATTGATTGCCATGAAAATCAATCATAACTTGTGTACTTGCATGCCAAATAATAAACATAATATCACTTCCCTTTAAAAGTTGTGTCGCTGAAACCAATTGTCTGCGGACAGACGAACGGATAGATTACGCCTTATATTATAATATTATAATTAACAGTTCCGAAGGTATTCGGACGTATTTTAGTAATGTCGGATTAAAGAATAATGAGGCACTATCATTAATTGAATGACTACTTTCCTTGAAATGACCCTCATAGTCGAAATTTAAAGACATTTCAGAGCAGGGGCTCAAAGATTACTTGAATCATCCCTAATTATCATATTGAGACCACTCTACGCGCTATATAGTGTCTTCTTGAATTCAATACATGCATATTATTTTACCAAACTCATTCTTTCACGGGAGCTAACTCCAGATGCTTTACATAGAATTCTATTAATAAAGCTCTTGAAGCACAATAAAGCAATGCAAGGTGCTAGAACGCTGGGGATAAAGGTTTTTTCACTTCTTTTCAAATGTGAAAACTTTCAACACACGCTAACTTCATACTAAATGCTTCAACATAACAGCTGAAGAATCTAGTCTTCTATAAAATAGTATAAGTTATCATGCACACGGTCAAATCATTGTTTTTAAAACATTATCATTTTTTAAAAGCTTGATGGCACACAAGTTCTTGCAACTTATAGATAAATAAATAAATGAATAAATAAATAAATAAATAAATAAATAAATAAATAAATAAATAAATAAAATAAATAAATAAGTAAATAAATAAATAAATAAATAAATAAATAAATAAATAAATAAATAAATAAATAAATAAATAAATAAATTCATTCATTCATTCATTCATTCATTCATTCATTCATTCATTCATTTATTCAAAAAATAAATACATATTTTAAAGTTTAACGAATTCAACGCAATCAAATAAATAGATAAATATCAGACAGTGATGAATTTTAAACAAAATATTAATCCATGTAGCCCAATATATTTGAGCTGTTAATCTGTTGTAAATTAGTAAAGTCAATATTGAGGTAGTTTGAATTTCATAATAATTAAAAGGACGGAAAAACAAAAGGAAAACAATATAACGAAGAAAAAACTGTTCATGAAGAAAAAAACACGCAATTTTAGTTGATATCCCATTTGCACGACGTGATTTCAATTTGGGAAACCCGATAGCCTCGTTTGCAGTTTGACATATTGAAATGACGTCATAGGAGATCCCGTAACAGCATGAAAACAAACATCTGACATGTAGACGAAATACACGAAAATTCTCAGCTATACTTTTTGCTCACGTGCCAAAGCAGTTTATGGGAGAGAAAAACTGTTACCAAGGTTACACCTGTCCGACGCATGCATCCCATTGGCTGATTCATGGCAGATTTAACATTGAAGTTGATATGGTACAAGCTAGGAGAGACTTACTCAAAGATGGCGGAAGCCGGGGCAAGCATGCAAAGTTGGTTTAGCTGGGAAGATCATTTCTTGGATGTTTTGTTAATATTTTGGATTTCGTTTGGTCTCCTGATTGTAGGTGTGATTAATTCCATCACAACATTCTTTGGACCTTTGCAACCCCGGATTTCGTGGGAGAAACCCAAGGATGGAGTGTCAACCACGGTCGCAGTTGCTCAGGGGCCCCATCAGCCGGAGTCTACTTTCTGGTTGAATTCGGCGCTCAACTGGTTTTACTTGCATTACAACCAGTTCCCCCAGTTTGTGGATGCTTGGGTTCAAGCTTTGAATGAACAAGCGAATAAACTTGGGGTATGTTTTTACAATTTATAATCAGACAATTATTAAATAAATGCATGTACCTTATACATATACCTTGACACCATGCATACTGTTGCAGACTGATCTTAATAATTATTTTTTATTACTCTGCTGTTTGAATAAAATGTGTTTTTAATGTAAGAGTCTACAAATTGAAATCCAGAAGTAACAGGCATATAAGTATTAAAATGAATACGCAAATAAGGATAATTTACTTCAATGGTTAACCCTTTCCCCCATGAGCATATTGTGAAAAATGGCCATTTTCACTGAAAAGCCTCCTGTTACAAGTTCAAACTGCTATGAAACTATGAAAAATGCTTCAATACTAATCAAACTTGGCACAAATGTTGACTGGACCATTGTCTTTGTAACGACATGCTCAGTCTTAAATTTCCTGTTACCATGGCAATGAGGGGACATCTCAAAATTGCCAAAATCACATTTTTGCCTCGATTTTTTCCATCAAAATTTATTTCAAAGTGCTGCAACTTCTCAAGGGATTGAGATAGAGTCAAAGGCTTTTCAGCGTTGGTTACACGTTACCTTATGATCGACCTGGGGTCATTTTAAGCTTCTCACAAGTCCAAAATTTTCTTGGCGATGAGGGGGACTCCGCCCCCCTTCAAACCCCCCAAACAGAAGGGGGCACATCCCCCTTCTGGCAACCCCCTGATGTAATATTTGGATGGGGGACGGCGCCGAAAAAATGGTCATTTTTTTAAACAACATTTCTCAAACAAAAGACAGTGTTTGGGGCCTAAATAGGGCATTTTTTCACTGTTTGAGGCCTCAAAAAGGGGGGGGGCAAAAAGCCGTCGAAACACGCTTATATAAGGGAAAAGGTTAAGTGGACTCTGGAGAGTACACAGTACATGCTGTTTCATTAGTGGCCATTTATTTATACAAGATTGTTGAATTCCACACTCTGGTAGGGGTGCATAACTAACAAAGATGTAGAGTATACATATTAAGTATAAAATCTATTTAAGTTTGATTACTTTTATATTTTTTCTTACTGGACATTTTTTGAATTTCAAAATTATCTGCTGTGTCAAGTTTACTTGATTATATGAAAGTTAAAGTAACCCAATTTTGAAATAAAAAAATTAAAATTGACAAAATTGGAAAAAGATGTAAATATTTTGATTTAATGTGGAATCAGTATGGTCGCTACTCGCTACATAACCTAGCTGTCTAGCTGATAATAGTAAAATTCGGTATAAACTATGATATCTAAAAAATTCTTTTTCTGAGGATGTATTTTATTTATGATCTTAAATTTGCATTTAAATTTATGTTCTGCATCATGATCATATTTTAATTATTGACCTTGGCAGAGAAATTTCAATATTATATCTGAATAATTCTAGTAACTTGGTATGAATTATTGATTCAAAGTATTTCCATAAAATATTATGACTGTTTGAAGTATCTAACAGACAAGCTCACATAGATTACCTGGGAGGTATATTTTATCTGATACATTCATCCTAAACTGCTCTTCTGGGAACTACAATATTTATAGAAATTAAACTACATGTAATGACTGTAGTGAACATTGTTAAAGCTGAGATTTTTTCAACATTTTCCTGTACATTTGAATTCTTCAATACAAATCATATTTCAGCTATGAAAATTATTTTTTTTCAAGCTTTATGTTAATTTCATTAAAAAAAATTGAAGTGTATAAATTAAGGCATCTTAAAGTATCAAAAGTTGAAAAGGTTGCTCTTAAGAGTATTGAAGGTTGAAAGTTTTAAATTTTTTAGTTGTTACATTTTAATTTTTATTATGTTTGACTGATACCTTTGTGGTCAGATTTAAAAAGGTGCTTGATTCATGCTGTTGACAGTATTCTATTTGTTAAACAGCAGTTTCCCAGGTACCTATAGATAGATTGGTATTTCTTGATGTAAAGAAAGATTGTGCAGAGAGCAATTGTAGTATAATTTTGAACTTTCCTGACTTTGTAAAGCTTTTGTCAGTATCATAATTTTCACAACTTCTTTACTGTAAAACCAAAAGAAGTTGAGGCGACTTGAACAAGTGATTTATTAACGTTATATACCGACTGTTGACTTGTCTATATTTAATAGAGATATTAAATGTCACTCATTAAAAGCTTGATCACTAAGTAAGTAACTTGAACAAATACTCAGTATTATAAATATATTTATTATTTTCAATTATTATTGAGATGGGTCTGATATTATCTATGATATTAATCATGATTAGTGCCCTAAAGATACATACTGTACAAACAATACTTACTTAGGTACAAGTGAAACGATATATTGTGAACAGTTATTGTACTTTCAAAGACTTGTATTTTATTTTTCTTTATGACAAATTTGATGCCAGAGAAAATCATGCATAATTTCTTTTTTTGAGATTTTTAGTTTGTTTTAGTCAAGATACAATTTCATCATGACAGCAATACAAAACTCTAGCTAAATTTCATAACAGTTTGATGTAATAATCATATAAAAGTGCATAAAAAATGCAAACAAGATCCCACTAAAATGTAATAACTTATATTTAGAAATATCTCCCCTGTTATATTGGAACCAGATCGCTACAGTTTAACATTCAGATGTACAAAGTTACCCTTCTCCATAATGTAAAAATTGCCAGAATTTTCAGTAATTTACTCCTACCTTTATTGCCTAGTGGGAACAAAATGTAGGAAGAAAATTTTGAAGTAATATGACTTTCCCACAGTGAAGCCTGGGAGTGACATTCCTGGGTTTATGTATTCCCAGCTGTAAGGTATTTCCTACAGTTTGTGTGATTTACATATGTAAGGGAAATGCATTATTGCCTATTATTGAATAATTAATGAATAGTATACAAACATTCCATTGAGACTGTTAGTAAAGTACCTTGGTAATAGAGGATAGAGGCTATATATCTAATATAATTAATCTACAAGGAAAGATCAATGAGTTCATTTGATCCCTCTCTAATTAGACAAAGACTAAAGCTATTTACAAATTGATTTCCTCAGGTTTTTTGTTTGCTTTTGTTATAAGCTCTTCATTATTTAACAACAGGCTTTGCTTTTGACCTTTGAAGAGCATGATAATAGTACGTGTAGTGCAGGAAATAAGTGTAAATGATTATTAAATTATCTTTGCATTGAATAATACATGTGTACCTGTCTGTGAATATTTTGATAGTTCAAGCACAGGAAATACCACTGGTTTATCAACATTCAAATTTGCAACTTAACCCATTACTTCATATACACGCCTTTTAACCCCTTTTTCACCCCCCCCCCTTTTTATTGTCTCAAATGGTGAAAAAAATGCATTATTTAGGCCCTTAACACTTGTTTTTGTTTGAGAAATGTTGTTAAAAAAAGTGACCACTTTTTTGGCGATGCCCCCCAACAAAAAGATACATCAGGGGGTTGCCAGAAGGGGGATACAGTGCCCCCTTCTGTTTGGGGGGTTTGAAGGGGGGCGGAGTCCCCCTCATCGCCAAGAAAATTTTGGACTTGTGAGAGGCTATAAATGACCCCAGATTGATCATAAGGTAACGTGTAACCAACGCTGAAAAGCATTTGACTCTATCTCAATCCATTGAGAAGTTGCAGCACTTTGAAATCAATTATGATGGAAAAAATCAACGCAAAATAGTGATTTTTGGCAATTTTGAGATGTCCCCTCGTTGCCATGGTAACAGAAAATTTAAGCCTGAGCATGTTGTTGCAAGGGCAATGGTCCAGTCAACATTTGTGCCAAGTTTGATTAGTGTTGAAGCAGTTTTTATAGTATTATAACAATTTGAACTTGTAACGGGAGACTTTTCAATGAAAACAGCCATTTTTTACAAAATGCTCATGAAGTAATGGGTTAATGACACAAATCCTATTGATGTTACTGTTTTAATATAATTTTTAGATGATCTTTAATTCTTATTACATTTGTATGCCCTGTGTAATCTACTATCATTAAATAAAGTATATTAATTAACATGATTGCAATGTATACATGTAATATTTTGATAATCTCTTCCTTGTCAATAATGCACTCATTGTCATACACACAGATAAAAGGCATATTTGTTTAGTTCAGTGTAAGATCGGAATATATTTCACCGAGTGAGCACCAAAAGGTATATTTCACGAGTGGCGCAGCCACGAGTGAAATATGAACTTTTGGTGTTCACAAGGTGAAATATATTTCAATCTTAAACTAAACTAAACAAATTTTCTTTTTATTATATGCAAAGAGACGTTTTAAAAATACATTTAACCTAATACTGATTGAAAAGCGTGCCAAATAATAATATAACGTGACATCATTTACGACGTCACATCATTAAGTTGGTTCCCAGTACTGTGTACGCTGGTATTTCACTGAAATGAAATGTAAGAGGGTTAAATTCAAAACAGTGAAATTATCAAAGTGGTAATTTCACTGTTTCAAACGGTGAAATTACCATTATATCACTGATATATTTCTATAAACCACCGAAAAGCATGTAATAAAACAAGTTAATGTCAAAATGGTTTTCTTAACCCCTTTAATGCTGGTGGCAACAGATTGTACATGTGCAACAAATGCAGGCCAAGATCAACTAGCACAGATTAAGGTCTGCACTTAAGTGTTCACTATTCAGTCAGTACATTTTACAGAACGGAACAGAATATTTCTTTTATTTCATAGACACAGATTACAAAAAATACATTTTGTAATTACAAATATACTACATGGCTGTACATATTTTGAAATTTTCCTTATAAATGATGAATCATTTCTTGTCCAAATTAATAGATGGACAATAGTTAACCAAAAGGTTATTTAGTTTAAACATATTTATTTCCCCTAATATTTACATGATATACATAATACAATACAGTCAGAATACAAATATATATAATATATTCAAAGAAAAGGATGAGAACGAAAGACTAAGTCATATAAAATTCTTCTCCTTAAAAGGTTATTTTACAGACATTAAGTTTATTTAAATGGTGAATA